GTCCTGGATGTTTAGCTTCTCCAATGCGTATTCCTGAATATGGTGCGCATCGGTAGGGTAGTTTAGCCGGAAGCAGCGTTGCCATGAGGATATTGTGTGATGCCGTATTTGCGGTGTTGTATGTTTTGTCCCATAAGAACGTTCTTGTGATTTTGGCAACCGGTATTGGGCGCCACCATGCTCCTGACAGCGCAGACGGGTTCACGTAAGTCACCACATAGGACCATTGCCGCATCCACATCAAACTTATTACAATGCACAGTTCCCAATTGGTGTCGTATCGTACGGCAGTGGTATTGTGGACCTTCCAGTTTGGACGATAATATTGTCGTAACGGCAGCGGCGGCGAAATAACCAGTAGCGTATCCAAACAACCCGTAGTATTCGGAGTCGTAACCTGAGTCGTAGTTGGTCTCCTAATTACCTGATGCGCTGGAGTCGGAATGTGGGCAACAACTAGCGCCGGGCCCCATTCAGAATACTTCTCGGAAGACTTGGGGGCGGGCGGAGGAATAGGGGCGGGAAAAGTCCCAAGCAAGGGCGACTCAGGGGCACCCTGCGGAGGCCTTTGCGTTACGTTTGGTTTTGCACCCCCTACCAAGATAAATGCCGAGGTCGGGTTGGTAGTCGCCGCCGTACCCGCTTTCGTTGGCGGAGCCGTGGATGTCGTTGAGGCCATCGCCCCCGGACTGGAACTGAGTGCCGGAGTCGTAGTTCGATTCCTGATTACCTTCTGCGTCGGAGTTGGAATGGGATCTGAAACGGGAGTCGGGGTCGGTGCAATCGAAGATAAGTGATGGAATGCGTCGCTACCGTCGTCGTCACCCAAGTCGTTCGCACTAATAGCATCGTCGCTATCGCCGGTTCTCGCTTCGGGTTTGTACTCGGCTCGATTCCCCGAGTCGGCGACGCAATCAACATGCCGAAAGAAAGCCTGAGCGTTGGTCCTGAGCACGATGACGGACAAACGGACAACATTTTCACATAGATGCTGAAGGCCATGAACATCGCAGGTCTGCCCTTCGAAATGAGTCTCGGGGGAGGTGGGGGCGGGCGGAGGGGTGGGGGCGGGAATCACCAGAGGTAAAACGTACGTTGGATATAGCGACAGACGATTGGGTCCCCGCACCGGAACGGCGACCGACGTCGGACGGATTGGTGATGCCATAGTCGTAGCCTGTGTGGTCAGAGTCGGAGCTGGGACCATTGGTGGGCGTGTTTTCCACCACCACTACCATAAGTGGGAGGGGGAGGGGGTCCTCCTCCTCCTCCTCCTCGTCCTCCTCCTCATCCTCTACCTCCTTCCCCCCTCCAACTTATGGTGGTGGTGGTGGAAAACAGGCCCATGAACCATTTTTGGTGCAATTGTAGCCGTGATGTCCGACGTCGTAGCTGCCATATCCGCAGTCGTTGCCGGAGTCGGGGATGCCGTTGAAGTAGTAGCTACCGGATTGAAGTTAAGTGTTGGACTTGGTGATGCCATACTCGTAGCCTTCGGAATTAACGCCAATGTCGAAGTTGGACGTGGGACCGAAATCGGGCGGCTTAGTGCCGGCATGGTCGTAGCGTTCGGGGCCAGCGCCAATGTCGAGGTCGAAGCTGGAACCGGCATGGCGACCGAAAACGGACGGCCTGGTGGTATCGTAGTTGTAGTGGTGGTGGTTGCCGTTGCATTCGCCGTAGTCGTACTCCTCGGAGGTCGAGCCAATGTCGAAAACGACATTGGTTTGCTGGGCGCCACCGTAGTCGCACTAGTAACCTCTGGGGCCGGAGTCGGAATCTGAACCGAGGACGCTGTGAGCGTCACCGCTGCCACTACCAGCACCCAAACGCCTCGTAATCGCATCTTGGCGCGCCTGATCGTGGGAGGATCCGTCGCACGTCTCATTGTACCTGTATGTGGGGAGGAGCCGGAAACAGATCGATTACGATGGCCTCCGGGAGCGCATGTCCAAGCAGATGTCGGCTTTGTCGATGCCTCTGCGGTTGGACCTGTGGGGAGCGTTGGAGGACGCAGCGGGGGAGTCGGGAAAGTCGCCGGAATCAGGGTTGAAGTCGGAGTCGGAACGAGAGTAGCAGTCGTCGAAAGAAGAATAGGAGTCGAAACTGGAGTCGGAGATATAGGAGGAGCCCTCTGTAGCGCTGGAAAACAAGGTCTGATGGTAGAAACTTGAATGGGTAGGGACACAACCATAGAGATGGGAGTTGGAGTAGGAGCAGGAGTCGGGGACGTAGTGGTCGAAACCGGAGTGGGAAGGTACGGCCCTGGGTTGGAAGCTTCTCCGACACGTATGCCTGCCCACGGCGTTAGACGATAAGGCAACACATATTCCCCTGAGAGCAACTCCCAATAGATCCCATATTGTCTGGAGACCCATACCCTGAGATATTCCCACTCCACACCCACACCCACCGAAACAACCGTACAATACGATGAATGCCAAATTAGATACGTTTGCAGTGTGCAACTGTTAGCCGGCAGCTGGAAACGAATGGTGTGCGCCATCGCGTACAGCAGCGGAAAAATGTGCACACGATCGTACACATTTGGAATTATTGGAATATGCCGTGTCCCTGTGGTGGTGCCCCGTGCAAGGCTTAGATCCCTACCAATCGGTGCAACCATTGAGTCTCTGTCATTCCAGACTCCTGTGCAAGCTCCCTCAAGGAAGGACGGCCTCCTTGTTGCACGTACCTGATGAGCTTTAATTTCCCGTGCTCCTGCGGCGTCACCGCGTGAGCTTGTGGGGGGGCCGTAGACACATTTCCATAAGAGCATGGCAAGGATAGTAATCACTAATTTTGTGAAGAATCCCAGCCCCGCACTCACCACCATCCATCCCCAACCCAGTGCGATTGGGCCGAAGCGTGGACCAGTTCGTACTGCGGGGTACTGCCTTGGCATACCAGTGCTGTGTGCACTGCTGCTTGGTAGCACTCCTTTGGTAGTGTGGACAAGAATGCATAAGATCCCTGCGTGGCTGCCGTAGCCACTCCCCCAGCGAATGCTCCTGCATGGTATGCGCCATTGCCCAACCCTCCCCACGGAACCCGGTTGGTAACGTTCCATACCCATGCCATTCGTCACGTGCACACAGCACGAGGGCGAGAAGAAAATCAAGATACGTGGTGTAAGAGGTGAGTGACAGAGGGAGTTTGATGTGAGCCTTAAGCCTTGAGCCTTGAGGCTTAAGCCTTGAGCCTTGAGCCTTGAGCCAACGCGACCTACCACGAAATCCTAAAAACGGGTCTGGACTCTTCGCTTTGTCTAGGGGCTGACGTTTTTTGGAGGTGGGAGCGACTAAACGCCCGTCTTATCCCCGAGCTAGCCTGAGAACGCTCCAGAAGACACAACGCGAGAATTCGGAAAAGAGTAAATTTGAATTTGCAACATGGAGATATGTCTGCAATCTGCAGTAGCACGCGCGGTGCTTCGTGAAGGAACAGACTTTCCCACCGTATAGTTAGAACCTACACCACCCATTGCTAATCTCGTTGTTGTGTAGGCTCTCCTTCTCTCCTCCTCCTTTTTTGCGTTGCTTAGTGCAACGGCGGCGGCATTTTTTGTTTTCACCCTGGTTTGGTTTGCGTACTTGGCGCTTGTGTCACCTGGTCCGACGCTGGGGTGCAAAAGGAAAAAATAAATGGTGCGTCTCAAGCGGTTTCCTTCGTCTCGGGCCCGATAAATGAGCAAATTCAGTCGGAAACCTCGTATCTACAATTTGCCTCCCAAGGATTGTTTAAGCTCTGCTGGAGGCAAAGGCGAGCGCTTTCAAACAGAGAGCGGCGCAAACGTCATTTTGAAACCTGCAAAAATGAGGATCAATGCCAACCCGGACTGGGCTTTGCGCGAGGCTGAAAAGAAATTTGAAATCCGGGTCTCTCGAAACATCGTCTGGCTGGATTGGAAATCCCGCGCAATGTCTGTCGATTCGAATGTTGTTTTTAAGCAGGGGCCCGGCGATTTAACGGGATGCTTTCGGGCACCTTTCAGCGACCTCTCCATCTAGAAGGCAGGGGGTCGCATTCAGTTTTGTGTTCACGATTATTTTTCCTCCTTTCTGTCTCGTCTGCGTTCTGCTGCCCCTCACCTCGTGAATTGTGCGCGGCCTCTTTCGCGTCGTTTCAGACGACGGGGTCCTCGCTCTGACAGTGCCTTATTGCGGCGAATGATCTGGCGGATCCTGCAATCTGGAGCGAATTCGCCGCCGGATTTTTCGAGAAGTGAGTGCTTATCTGGGATGTTTCGACCCCTCTTGCTCTGGACTCCCTCATTCCGGCCTCCGTTTCTCCTCGTCCTTCTTTCTCCCAGCGTAGCTGTCCTGATTTTTGTTGGCGTGCTGAGCCATCGAATTCGTATTCTGTACTTCCAGATGGTGATCGTGGCGACTCCCAACCCTCGTTCGCCATTTGTTGATATGTCTGACTTCACAATTTTTGCGCCAAGTGTTTAGTGCCAATCACGCTGAATTGTCTGCTCGTCTCTCCTTGTTCCCCTCTCTTCCTCATTTCGTCTGTCTCATGGGAACATGGTTGAACGCGTCTGTCTCGCACCCCGTTTTGCATGGTTATACGTTTCTCGGTCGATGCGATCGTTCGCAGCAGTCAGGTGGTGCAATTATATTCGTACTAGATGCTTTGATTTCGGCTTGCAGCTGTCTCTTTGTGTCCACCTCGGCGGACTCAGTGTGGCATTGTAATTCCGGTCTTTTGCTTCTTGGTTGCATGTATCGAAGGCCTCGGTATGGCGAAACCGGATCTATAGATGCTCTCCGCTCTGAATGGTAAAGCTTGCAGCGTCAGAACGTTGGCGCAATCATTTTTGGAAATTCTAACGTGCATCACGTCCTTTGGCTTGTGTGTAGTCGTGTTATTTTCCCCGAGGGTATTTATATGAAACGAATAACACAAGAGCGTGCTTTTTCCCAACGAGCGCGACGCCCTACTCGGGGAGCTTACCTATTAGATCTTAGTTTAACTGATATTCCGGTTCTTTTAACAGTGGAAGTAGTCCGCAAAATTGTGCACTGTCTCTGTGTGCATCACTCCCGCCTCTCTCGTTTGAGCGTCTTCCTCGAAACATTTGGACACTTGCTCAAGCCAATTCGAATTCCCTAAAAGCACGTTTGCGTTCTCAGCAGTGGAAGTGCAAGGCGGGAGCGAGGCAGGAGGGGGAGGCGAGCCAGCCAAGGTATCAAGAGCTCGGAATGTCACGGTGGACGACGACAAGTTGAGAGTCTGGCACGCGCAGCCCCCAACGCAGACGTTCTTTGGCATGCACGCGTGGTCCAAGCGCTCGAATGTGACCACGACTGTGAGGCCGTATGCGCCTTTGTGGGCCCCGGAAACGGCAGGGCCGTTTTCTCACAATTTCCGAACACATGTCCCTTGAACATGGAAGCGGCGAAAAAACGGCGACCGGAAACGGCAACAAGAACGGCTCCAGGATTGGACCCGGAGCCGGAACCGGTAAAAAAACGGCGACGGAACCGGTAAAAAAACGGCGTCGGAACCGGCAAGGAAACGGCAAAACGGAACCGGTAAAAAAAACGGCCCTGTCGTTTCCAGAGCCCACTAAGGTATACGCCAGGCTCCATCACCGCACACCTCGCCGGGCTGCTGAAGCCTCTGGGCGTCCTTGACGGCTCCCCCGTGGCGCACAGCGGCCACGAGCGCCCACGGAGAGCCACGTCGTACCGCGGGCCCACCTCTGGAAGCGCGGCCGCCACCGCGTCCAGCTCGGCGAAGACCACGAAAAGGCAAGGCTCCCCAGGATCACAGGATTCGACGCGGAAGCTCCAGGAGTGCTCGAGCTGCCGGCCCTCGGACAGGTGCCACCTGGACGGGGCGATGAGGCTCGCCGCGGCGGCGGAGACGGGCGCAGGAACGAGCAGGCGCGCCTCCTCCGAGAGCCCGCGGTCCTCGAACAGGGGATACGGCGCGCCGCACCGCGGCCCCCGAGCGGTGCTGGCCGGGGGCCTGCCGGCCTCTCCTCTGGCGGGGCCTGCCTAGCTGCGGCTGCGCCGCCGGGCTGTGCAGGACGGCCCTCCGCCGCGCCCGGCATATCGGCCGACGCGGCGAGCCTCTGCTCGGGTGGGCCTGGCGAGCTGCCCGCGCCCCAGGCCGCAGGCCCTGGACGCAGGCCCTGGCAGCTGGTGTAGGCGATCGCGCCGCAGATCAGGAGGAAGGCGGCAGCCAGCAAGCAGCGCCACATGCCGCGCCGAGACCGCGCCGCCCCGTCCCGGCCGCTAGGTGTCCTCTTGGAACCCTCTTGGGGGGTTTGGGGGGCCTCTCGGGCCGTCTAGAAACCATCTTGGGCGTCTTGGCGCGCTCTTGGACCGTCTCGGAAGCCTCCTGGACCGTCTGGGGAGCGCCTTCGGGCCCTCCGAAAGCGGAGGGGGGCCCTTCGAGCCCCAGAAGGCCTCTCCAGGCAAATGGCCTCTCCGGGGAGGTCCGGAGGTTTTTTCGGTAGAAATCCGGAGGTAAGTTCGCTTCCTCTTCGGGGGTTTGTTCGGTTCCTGCTCGGGGGTTTGTTCGGTTCCTGTTCGGGGGTTTGTTCGGTAGAAGATGGAAAGTTGGTTCTGGAATTCGTGGGTTTGCTGTAGTTTCGGCCTGGCTGACCCCTGTTAGCGCTGACCCCCTCTACCCTATGAGGTCGGCGTACATGGGGTCGAAGGCTTGCGCCGCATCGCCGATGCATTGGCGACGGCGATGCACGGGCGAGGTCGGCGATGCATTGGCGCCGTAGGCGTGGCGAAATTCGGACTCCGCATCGAACCGCATCGCTGATGCATCCATCGGCGATGCGGCGCGACCCTCCGACCGCCCCACTTTTTCGGACCCCTATCAGGAAGGCCCAGGCAGCGGCGCCCCGATGAGGGGGGGGCGCCTCCTCTTCTCGAGGGCCCTCTGGCTCGCGCAGCGCGCGCGCGCCAGGCTCGGAGCACAAACTCTCTTTTTTTTCGGCGATCGCGACCCATGGCTGCATTGGAGGAAAACGTTGGCGTCCTTCGAGGCCATGTCGGGGACGCGCTACCTGCGCCCCGATGGGTGCACGGTTTCCCCCAGGGCCGTAGGCGTCCCCAGGGGGAGAAGGAGGAGGAGGAGAAGGAGAAGGATGAGGAGGGTCGGGAAGGAAGAGGAGGAGGAGGAGGAGGAGGAGGAGGAGGAGGAGGGAGGAGGAGGAGGAGGAGGAGGAGGAGGGAGGAGAGGAGGAGGAGGAGGGGAGGGAGGAGGAGGAGGAGAGGAGGAGGAGGAGGAGGAGGAGGAGGAGGAGGAGGAGGAGGAGGAGGATCATGCTGGCCAAACTTCCGAGGTCGCGAAAAGTACGCGCAACGGTAGCGACGAAAGCTTCCTCTACCCCTGGTCGTCCCTGGGCGATAAGGTTCGGCTTTGCTCTGGAAGTCTAGCTGATGACGTGCAGTCCAGCTATTTCTTCCCCATGCCGTCTCTTTCACGTGGCGGCCAGGGCCCAGCCGTGGCGACGAGGAACGACGAGGGGGGGGGGATGGGCACCCCCAGGTGGTTGGCCCATCTTTCGAACCACGCCCTTCGGCAGCATCGCCCTCTGCAGCGGCCTGCTGAGTGTTCTGGCGCACGCCGCCGCCTGTTGCCTTCCGTGGGGGAACCTGCCACTTCGCACGAGCTGACCCCAGCGTTGTTGCTGCTGACGTTTGCACGTGCGCTTGCGTCTGCACGCAATGCCAAATCCGCTGCCACTGCTAGTGTCTTCTCCCGTTGCCAGCTCCCGCTGCCGATGCCTGCCCTGCTCGCACAAGGTGACCCCAACAGCAGTGTAACTGATCAGGTATTCTTGCTGCGCCGGCGGGCACAGACAGCCACAGCTGCCACTGCCTGCCTTTTTCGCTCCGACAGCCACTGCTGCCACTGCCCGCTGTCTTGCACTGCCAGTCCCTGCTGCCGCTGCTCTCTCTTGCACAAGCTGGCCCCAGCAACTTCGTAGCTGATGAAGAGTTCTTGCCTCGCCATTTGGCACCGGCAACTGTCGCTGCCAACGCCTGCCTTCTCGCACTGATCGCCCTTGCAGCCACTGCCTGCCTTCTCGCATGAATTGACCTTCGCTTCAAATAGCTGACGAAGTGGTCTCGCTGGCCACTGGCACCGACAGCCGCTGCTGCCACTGCCCTCTTTCTCGCATCGACAGGCCATGCTGCCACTGCATGCCTTCTCGCACGAGCTGACCCCGCTGCCCGCCTTCTCGCACCGACACACCATGCTGCCACTGCCTGCCTTCTCGCACTGTTCCTTGGTGTGGCGTCTCCCACACGAACTGGCCCCAGGACTGCAGCTGATGACGTTGGCTCGCACGTTCTCGCCGCACGGACCGCTCCCAACACTGTAGTTGATGACGCTGCTGATCATGGCTGGCCCCTGCTCGCCTGCCTTCGCACGCACCAGTCCCAACATGGTAGCTGTTGCTTTGCTGCTCTAGCTTTCCTGATGCTTGCCTGCACTTTGGCAGCGGCGCCGCAACTGGCGCCACTGCTCGCCAGGAGGTGGAGCAGGGATGGGAGGAGGAGAAGGACAACGAGGAGTTGACGGAGTGTGCCGCGTCTCTTGGCGGGTGCGCACGCGCCTGATCTCAGCATTGTAGCTGATGGCGTGGGGCGCCACACTTCTTGATGTCGGTTCTCACGGGCAGGTCCACTTCGAAATTGGCTCCCGAATTACCCTTGCGCGCCCCGTAAAAAGGGGTGGGCGCTCGGGCGCGACATGGCCAGGAGAAGGAGGAGGCGGAGGAGGAGGAAAAGGAGGAGGAGGAGGAGGAGGAGGATGAGGAGGAGGAGGAGGAGGAGAAGGAGGGAGGGAGGGAGGAGGGAGGAGAAACGAGGGAGGAGGGGAGGAGGGAGGTGAGAGGAGGGAGGAGGGAGGAGGAGGAGGGAGGAGGGAGGGAGGAGGGAGGAGGGGGAGAGGAGGAGGAGGAGGAGGAGGAGGAGGAGGAGGAGGAGGAGGAGGAGGAGGAGGAGGAGGAGGAGGAGGAGGAGAGGAGGAGAGGAGGAGGAGGAGGAGGAGGATGAGGAGGAGGAGGAGGAGGAGGAGGTAGAGGAGGAGGAGGGGGGTCGAGGAGGAGGAGGAGGATCATGCCTGATCATGCTGGCCAAACTTCCGAGGTCGCGAAGCACGCGCAACGGTAGCGAAGACAACTTCCTTTACCCCTGGTCGTCCCTGGGCGATAAGGTTCGGCTTTGCTCTGGAAGTCTAGCTGATGACGTGCAGTCCAGCTATTTCTTCCCCATGCCGTCTCTTTCACGTGGCGGCCAGGGCCCAGCCGTGGCGACGAGGAACGACGAGGGGGGGGGATGGGCACCCCCAGGTGGTTGGCCCATCTTTCGAACCACGCCCTTCGGCAGCATCGCCCTCTGCAGCGGCCTGCTGAGTGTTCTGGCGCACGCCGCCGCCTGTTGCCTTCCGTGGGGGAACCTGCCACTTCGCACGAGCTGACCCCAGCGTTGTTGCTGCTGACGTTTGCACGTGCGCTTGCGTCTGCACGCAATGCCAAATCCGCTGCCACTGCTAGTGTCTTCTCCCGTTGCCAGCTCCCGCTGCCGATGCCTGCCCTGCTCGCACAAGGTGACCCCGACAGCAGTGTAACTGATCAGGTATTCTTGCTGCGCCGGCGGGCACAGACAGCCACAGCTGCCACTGCCTGCCTTTTTCGCTCCGACAGCCACTGCTGCCACTGCCCGCTGTCTTGCACTGCCGGTCCCTGCTGCCGCTGCTCTCTCTTGCACAAGCTGGCCCCAGCAACTTCGTAGCTGATGAAGAGTTCTTGCCTCGCCATTTGGCATCGGCAACTGTCGCTGCCAACGCCTGCCTTCTCGCACTGATCGCCCTTGCAGCCACTGCCTGCCTTCTCGCATGAATTGACCTTCGCTTCAAATAGCTGACGAAGTGGTCTCGCTGGCCACTGGCACCGACAGCCGCTGCTGCCACTGCCCTCTTTCTCGCATCGACAGGCCATGCTGCCACTGCATGCCTTCTCGCACGAGCTGACCCCACTGCCCGCCTTCTCGCACCGACACACCATGCTGCCACTGCCTGCCTTCTCGCACTGTTCCTTGGTGTGGCGTCTCCCACACGAACTGGCCCCAGGACTGCAGCTGATGACGATGGCTCGCACGGTCTCGCCGCACGGACCGCTCCCAACACTGTAGTTGATGACGCTGCTGATCATGGCTGGCCCCTGCTCGCCTGCCTTCGCACGCACCAGTCCCAACATGGTAGCTGTTGCTTTGCTGCTCTAGCTTTTCTGATGCTTGCCTGCACTTTGGCAGCGGCGCCGCAACTGGCGCCACTACTCGCCTAGAGGTGGAGGAGGGATGGGAGGAGGAGGAGGGAAACGAAGAGAGGACCGAGTGTGCCACGTCTCTTGGCTGGTGCGCACGCGCCTGATCTCAGCATTGTAGCTGATGGCGTGGGGCGCCACACTTCTTGATGTCGGTTCTCGCGGGCAGGTCCACTTCGAAATTGGCTCTCGAAATACCCTTGCGCGCCCCGTGCAGGGGTGGGTGCTCGGGCGCGAAATGGCTAGGAGGAGGAGGAAGAGGAGGAGGAGGAGGAGGAGGAGGAGGAGGAAGAGGAGGAGAGGAGGAGGAGGAGAGGAGAGGAGGAGGAGGGAGGAGGAGGAGGAGGAGTAGGAGAAGGAGGAGGAGGAGGAGGAGGAGGAGGAGGAGGGAGGAGGGAGGAGGGGGAGGAGGAGGAGGAGGAGGAGGAGGAGGAGGAGGAGGAGGAGGAGGAGGGCGGAGGGAGGAGGAGGAGGGAGGAGGGAGGAGGGGAGGGAGGAGGGAGGAGGGAGGGAGGAGGGAGGAGGGAGGAGGGAGGAGGGAGGAGGGAGGAGGGAGGAGGGAGGAGGAGGAGGAGGAGGAGGAGGAGGAGGAGGAGGCGGAGGAGGAGGAGGAGGAGGAGGAGGAGGAGGAGGAGGAGGAGGAGGAGGGGAGGAGGAGGAGGAGGAGGAGGAGGAGGAGGAGGAGGGAGGAGGAGGAGAGGAGGAAGCGGAGGAGGGGAGGAGGAGGAGGAGGAGGCGGAGGAGGAGGAGGAGGAGGACGGGTCGCCTTGGCCCTTCGGAGAAACCCTCCACCGATGAGGGGGGGCGCCTCCTCTTCGGGCGCCGATCTCTCGGAGCATGCGGGTGCGAATTAGGGGAGGCGCGGATAGCGGCCTCGGGCGGCCGGGCCGCCTCCGAACAAATTGAGTTCGCCGCCCCGCAGCCCTGCGCGGCGGTGGGGGGCCCGGCCTCCCGGCGATGGCCGTGCAACAGCACTGCACTGGCTGGGCTGGGGAAGAGGAAGAGGATGAGGAGGTGGATGG